CGAGCAGGGAGCCCGATGCGGGGCTCGATCCCAGGACCCTGGGATCATGACCTGAGCCGAAGGCAGACGCTTAACGACTGAGCCACCCAGGTGCCCCAGCAGATGTTTTTCAATGTAAAAGTAACTTTGTTTTCCAGTTCCTTCCTCTCTATTCCACTTGGGCTGTTTGTTAGATCTCTCCTACTAAAGACAAAAACACACAAGACAGAACAAAACAGCTCTCAATTCCCAGTTCCTTTCTGGCTTCCACCAACCAAAACAGGTACCATCTCAGCTCACTCCTCATTTACTCTGTTGGCAAAGTGACTGAGACAAGGCTAGGATATATATTTATACATTTAAAATGCATTTTTATTCCTACTTTGGTCCACAGACGATTTGGAATGGGGTGTGTGCATGTGCGCATGCACGTGCACACACACATACACACGGTCAAGGGAAAAGAAGGATAGGAAAATAAAGTCAGAAATAAGAGTGTTTATGTACATAAATGACTGTACACATTGGCTTGGGGAAAGAGCTCAGTTAAAAGGGTTAGATACATACCATATGTGTGAGAGGGTTTAGATCTATTCTTCTCAAACTGGGCTAAAGTTGGCGTGCCAGTGGGTGGGTAAAAACAAGATAAATGCTGTGTGCCTTCTCAGAAAATCAGTGGTTTTTTTTAATATTTTTTTCTAAAATTACATTGGATTACAAAGGGGTGCAAGATTTCCATGTTTATTAAGATAAAGCAATCTCTGTTTCAGCTCTGCTCCTGAGTATCCTATCCCCTACCCTCTCTCCTAGATTAGGAGTACTTGGGTAGAAAAGTTTGAGAAGCCCTGGAATTTAGGGTGAGTGTGTGTGTGTGTGTGTGTGAGAGAGAGAGAGAGAGAGAGAGAGAGATTCCCTTGCCTTTTTTTATTCTTTTATTTTTGAAGTAATTATAGATTCACAAGAGGTTGCACAGCAAGGGAGGTCTCCCATACCCTTCACCCAAGCCTCCCCCAATGGTGACATCTTCTATGACTAGAGGTTAGTAGCAAGACAAGGATATGATCTACAGACTTTATTTCACCCACTTTATGTGCATAGATGTGTGTGTATATGTGTATGCAGTTCTCTACAGTTTTATCACACGTGTAGATTTATGTAATCACCACCACAATCAGGATCTAGAACTATTGTTCCATCCCCGTAAGGCTCCCGCATGCTACCCCGTCATAGCCATTTATGTGTTTAAGTATTCCAACTGAGGCTTTCAAACTGGAGCTTGAGATTTGCTCAAGTGACACATTTCTCTGGCCGTCTTTTTTTTTTTTTTTTAATGAATGAAATCCTTGCCTGGAGAGTCTTCTAGATTCTAAGAGTTCTCCTGCCAAGAACTTAGCCTCCAGGTTTCTGCCCCTAGCCATTTTTAGCTACTTGCCTTTCCACTCCCTCTCCCTCTTTGATTCCTGCTTCTAAAGTCTTCTTCCTCCCTAGCTACATTTGAAAGGCCAAGAGAGAGCAATTACCTATTCCTCTGAGGGACTAAAATAATGGAAAACTTGTGTCAAAACTATAACTCAGGAGGAAAAAAAAAAACCCTGAGCAGTTTGGCTCTGCTTGTTTAGGTCAGTGAATTATTTTAATAATGTTTTACGTTTTAAGAAGCCAGAAGTGCAGTGAGTTGTGTGTTTCATGTAATTCGAGTGAGTTTCAACTTCTATTTTTATCAGTAAGCATCATCTCCTAATGTTCAAGATAGCTTTTTTTTTTTTTTAAGATGTAACTATTTGCCAGCCTTTATGTTGGTGACTCCTTATTAGTGGTCAAAATTATATTTATTTTCTGGCAGACTTCATTATCCTAGGAGGACAGTGTCATAAGTATGTTCTCTCCATTTTAAAAAGAGCTGTTGCTGTTTTATTTTTCGGGTGAGCTGGCATCTCACTGGTTTTGTTCTATGGTCAAAGCCTGAAACTTTCTACTCACATCTGCTTGTTGCTGAGTCTGTGACAGCAAAATTCAAAGATGTGGTGGCTCCCTATAGAACGGAACTGTGGATTTGAAGAAAAGCGCTCAAGAATTTTCGACACCATAACCCCCCATGAGAATGTGACACCAGGGCAGGTAGAGCTGGTCTTCACTTCAAACACGTAGCCAAGGTTCGGCCGTTCCAGTAAGAGAGCTTTCAAGGCTCTTAATAAAATCGACATAAAATCAGATCTGTTTGACCACAGAACCTGCCCGAGGTCTCGTATTGAACATGAGTTTGCTTCGGGTTTTGTTTGTTCTTCGTTCTTGTCCATCCTTAGCAGCTGGCATCAGTTTTCCTTTGCGTGTAGCAAAGCCTCTCGTTTTCAGTGCCAAGTGGGCTGACAGTGTTTCAGGGGTCGCCTTTGAGCGATGTGATACAGGTTTTTTCCCTTCCCGAGCCCCTCTCCTGAAACCCTATTCCTCCTCAGTGCTGTGTGCCTCACTGAGGCTGCCGGGGCTAAAACAAGCTTCTTTCTTTTTCCCCTGTTCCAGGGAGCCTTTGCCTACATAGTCAATTATTTCATGTACGTCCTCTGGGCTCTCCTATTTGCCTTCCTTGCCGTGTCTCTTGTCAAAGTGTTTGCGCCTTACGCCTGTGGCTCTGGAATTCCTGAGGTGAGTCTCTCAAACCGTTTATAAATGGTTAACAGTAGTGAATCCTTCCTCTGGTTAAAAGCCTTTAATAGGTATTCCAGCCTATCCTGCAATTCGAATATGAAACAGGATCAGACCCGGAGGAAATCTGGGGTCTCTCTAGGTCTTCCCTCAAGTCTCCCAGCCTGGGCCACCTGGACACGAAAGGGGGTGGATTCCTAGCCCCCTTGCGGGTTCCTGGGGAATCAGGCCCTTTGAAGGCCAACCCCTGCTCCCTACCCAAGGAGATCAAGGGTAGATCCCAGGTTTCTGGCCGGAAAAAGTAGTGGTATTGTCAACTTTGTTCAAGCAGGAGAAATAAAACTATTTTGCTTCATATCCTACAATATGATTCGGGCTTAGAAGGAGGGTGGCCGAAATCCTGTTTCTAACTACTTTTGGCTTAGATTGCTTGACAGTGACCAAAACCACTGAGATTTGAGGTTACCCAGACGACCTTGCCCCTCTCTGTTTCCTGACCAAGTCATAGTTACAAATTTCTTTGGCAGAGAATCAAGGCTCTACTGGCCTGTAAGGATGTAAGTAAGGAAAACACCCTCCCACTCTGCCTCCCCTTCTCCAATACACACACACTCTCATGCTTGCAATACTCCCTTGCCCAGTTAGCACATGGCCGGGGGTGGGGGTGGGGAAAGGAACTTGAAAGCTTAAAGAACAGTTCTTGCTTTCTTGGGCTCTCAGGATCCCTCCCAAATTGGGGTCACGTAGGTCAAACATTTATATGTCACTTGTTCGAAAGGTGCAGTTTCCATAATGAGGTCCAGATTATTGCTTCCCAGCCTTGTTTACTTGCTTAGTCTATATTCAATCTCTCTGTGTTTGACCTGCAGATAAAAACTATCTTGAGCGGTTTTATTATTAGGGGCTATTTGGGTAAGTGGACCCTGATTATCAAAACCATCACGCTGGTGCTGGCCGTGTCATCTGGCTTGAGCCTGGGCAAAGAGGGCCCCCTGGTGCACGTGGCTTGCTGCTGTGGGAACATCCTGTGCCATTGTTTCAACAAATACAGGAAGAATGAAGCCAAGCGCAGAGAGGTAATGACAGATGGCCCAAATTGTCTCTTTTTTGGTGAGCATAAGTGGTACGATCTTAGGGATGAGGATCTGGGGACTCGACCAATGTCAGTACAAACACCCTTTGACCCAGTGGTTCCACTTCTAGGAATTTATCCTACGGACACCCCAAGTGTGTGTGGGAACCAGCGTATATGTGTGGGGCTGGTTGGTGCAGCATTTGTCAATATCGTGGTAAAACGAAACAATCGCAACATCCATCAACAGGGGACCGATCGAATAAACGAGATTCTGGCTGTACTATAGAATACTAGTCAGTCGTTAAAAAAGATAGCCTTACGTATATTGACGTGGAATGATGGCTACAAAATAACATTAAGTTTCAAAAGCCAGTTTTGGAATGACGCGTGTATAGAATAACTCAGTTAATGTTTTTTTTTAAAAAGTATGTATATGTGCATCTAGAAAGAAAATGTCTGGAAAGTGGTTTTACTCCAAACTGTTGAAAATGTCCACCTGTGGTGAGCAGGAAAGTGAGGTGGTAATGAGGGAGAAGTAAGGACTTTAACTCTAATAACCTTTATTACATATCAATCTATACATGTTGTGCTGTTTTATAACAAAATAAGTTTCAAAAATAAGAGATTTTTAAAAGAAGTCGTTTATTCCTGTGAACGAATATAAGCTCCACATGTGTTTCAGATACCAGCTTTTCCATCTTTTATTTCTACCTAGTGCCACACTGAATGAGTTTCTCTGTGTATAGGATTTCTGTCTGCCTTCTGCCTCAACCCCGCTAACTTAGTCCCACCACTGCATCTCTGTAGCTGTTCTCATGTTCATGCAGTTCTTAATGTGTATCATTTTGCGGAGGAAGAACAGTTTTTAGAAATGTCCGAGGTCATTGGTTACTTTTATCCTGCTATAATTAAGGATTTAAGAAAACAATGGTTCTTGCTCTGTTTTCCTTGAATTACACAGAAATCACATATGAAATGGGTCAAGGCCAAGGTCATTTCATTAGAACGGATTTTTCACAAAATTGGAACCCAGTGATTTATTCAGAAAACGAAACAAACCAAACCATAAGGCCCAGAAGGAAACTCAAAGATGTTGAAATTTCAAATATGGAATCCATTTTGATAGTTCAAGGGGGAAAGTTCCTGGCAGGAGAGGAAGGTTAGCAGGAAAGGGAGAGGGAAGTCAGAGTCGATTGTTTTGCTACCCGTCAAATGGTAGTGGGGCATAAAGGCAGTGTGAAACTGGTGAGGTTTTTAGATGAGAATAAGGTACAACAGAAGCTAAAGAGATGAAAAAAACAGTTTAGCTGGCAAGAGTAGAGTGTTGATTCTTGCTGGTTTTGCATGGGTAGGGGGACTTCGAAACTATAGATTGCCGGTTACTTTCATTCCATAAAATTGGCATTTTTGTTCAGACAGTTCCTTATAAAATGAGAGGGGAGTTGGGGGTGTTTCCCTGTTTAGATATCATGTATTTCTCTAACTAGACTTGTGAATATTTGCATCTTGAGTTCACTTCCTATGGTTTATTTAGACTTTCCAGTTATTTTTTCCTGTCCTTCTCACCATCGGCAGCAACCCTTTTGTGTCCCAGGGCCTTGTCAAAGTGGGCAGATGGTTGAGATTACAGATTTGAGAAGGAAGGGCATAGACAGACTCCACTCTGTCAGCAAAAACTTGAAGCAAACCAGCCATCACGATTCTTTCTTTTTCCTCATAATTCAACCGAAAGAGTCACTGAGATCTCTTGTTTGACTGTCCTTGTTCTTCTCAGATGAAAGCCAGTACATAGGCACGAATTTCGAAGTCCTCCCAGGCTAGCCCCGGAGACCTCACTCCTTCCTCCCCTTCATTTCCCTGGGCCATCCTGCGCTCCCAGGGAAACCTGCCTATTTATTTTGCCAAGAACCACTTTATTCTTCAGAAGCTCTTCATTTTCATTGAACTTTCTTTTAAAAATTTCCTTACTACCACAAATCACATATCACTCCACAGCAACCAGAATCCAATGAAAGGACTTTACCCTTCTATTAATTCTGGGGTGTTGGTCGTGCATATTCTCCATGCGCATGAGTGTGCCTACATACTGAGGTTGAGCTATGTATCACTTGCTCTCTTTCTCTACCTCCTTGTCCTTTTTTATTTCCCTCTGACAGCTTCTTCCCCTTTCTCTTCCTCTCCCACCTAGCCCTTTTCCTTGCCTCACCGAAACACACTTAGGTCTTCTCTTCCCTTCAGAGTCTGTCCCCTTGCTTCTCGTTGCTTCTAGTTTGCTCCCTATTTCTGTTTCCACCAGTCAGTAGGGACCAAGTGGGGCACAGAGTACAGGAAGCCCCAACCACCTATTGTGTGAATATTTGCAGCTCCTGAGTAGCTGTGAGTCAATTGTTACTTCAGTTTTGTATCATGACAGCCTTCTCTAAAATCTCATTTAAAAAGCATTCCTTAATAAAGAAAGCGCTATGTAAATATATCACTGAAAAGACTTCATTTAGGTGGTTAATAGGTCTACAGACTCAAATTCAGTTAATGAATTGAGAGTACTGGGGATGAGGGGAATGATTCGGAATAAAGTACATGCCCGGATTAATTACACAGGAAAGACCCTCTACCTGTTCCAGCATTTGAACCATGCGTTTGAAATGTAGCCTGCAGCATTTGCTCTCAAAATAAGTAAATATGAATTGAACTTCATTTTTGATTAACCGGATATGGAACACATATAGTGGTTTTTTTTTAAATGTTTAGTAAACACTAATACTCCTTTTTTAAAACGTGATCGACGGTAGAAAGGTGTCATTATTCCAACACTAATTTTGAGTTTTGGATTGTAGGTCTTGTCGGCTGCAGCGGCAGCTGGTGTATCTGTAGCCTTTGGGGCACCAATCGGCGGGGTGTTATTCAGCCTAGAAGAGGTAACTACTTTTATCTGTCTCTGGAATATGTGTGTGTTGCTTTCGTGTCAGGAATCCTGGCCGGTGTCTATGGGACATTGCGGACCCGAAGTGCTCCTCCCGACTCAGCGGGTTACCATTTACCGTGTGACCAAGCGCTCTCTGGGCAGTTCTTCGGTCGTCAAAGAACTGCAGCAGTGACTCTTCACCTGAAACTGTTTCTGCATCCTGATTTACGTTTGCTTTCTCACCTTCTTTCTTCCAGGTCAGCTACTATTTCCCCCTCAAAACGCTGTGGCGCTCGTTCTTTGCTGCCTTGGTGGCAGCTTTTACTCTACGTTCCATCAATCCCTTTGGCAACAGCCGCCTGGTTCTATTTTATGTGGAGTTTCACACCCCCTGGCATCTCTTTGAGCTCGTGCCCTTCATTGTGCTGGGCATATTTGGTGGTCTGTGGGGAGCTTTGTTTATCCGTACCAACATTGCCTGGTGTCGGAAGCGTAAGACCACTCAGCTGGGCAGGTACCCTGTCGTGGAGGTACTCGTTGTGACAGCCATCACTGCCATCCTGGCTTTCCCCAATGAGTACACCCGCATGAGCACAAGTGAGCTTATTTCTGAGCTGTTCAATGACTGTGGCCTGCTGGACTCCTCCAAGCTCTGTGATTATGAGAACCGCTTCAACACAAGCAAGGGGGGAGAGCTGCCCGACAGACCGGCTGGTGTGGGAGTCTACAGTGCCATGTGGCAGCTGGCCTTGACACTCATACTGAAAATTGTCATCACCATATTCACCTTTGGCATGAAGGTGAGCACATCCTTTTGATACTTGGTGGGTAGATGTGTGGCTGTGGGTTTGGGGGGCAAAGCCAAGACACCATACAATCTTTAAAGCTCATGTGGCATTTCCGGCTTCATGTAGCATTATCCCCTACCCTCAGAAGCCCTCACCCCCCTGCTCCCACGTGTCCTCATAACTTCCTAGACAGCGGTACCTCCACCAAACATCGTCCAAGCCTAGTTTTAGGCCACATGCAAACCTCAGTGATGAGATTTAAGGAGAAATGTGTTCTCCTTTCCAGAGGAAAACAGATTTTGCCCCTCAAAAGGGATGGTAAGGTATTTATTCATGTGCATTTTGTGTTAAAACAATATCTGACCACCACATTTTTGGTCCTTAGAGGGTGGCTTTAGAGTTTGCCAATAGAGCAAAATATCAAGTTGAACCAAATGAAGTAGCCATTATTCAACCATTTTGACCCTAAGATGGCAATGTCCTATGGTTTGGCCCAGTGTGGCGCTAAATGTATTCTATACCATTGTCATCAATGCCCAAGTAGCAGGAACTTCACAGGTGATCCCAAGTTAATAGTGCAACTGTCAGAAGCAGACGTCGGGCCAGCATCTTTTATTTTCGGTACTTGTTATCAGTTCCATGTTTCGGAAGAAATCAGAAAGGAACATTCATTGAGGTATTTTCTTCCTCCTCCCTAGGTTGTTAGTCTTTTCTTTAGCACCCAACTACCAAGTTAGTTCCCTCTGTTCTCTACGGAAATGGAGATTCGAACCAGAGAAGAAGACTCCACAGCTCAGTTTAGCCAGTACTATAGTCTCTGAATTGATACGCATCCTCCTCGACACCCCGGAAGGTTTTACAGTGCTTCTTGAGTGATTTTTTTTTTTTCCCATCATGGCTTCATTCTTTCATTTAAAGTGAATGTTCAGACCATCAGACCCACCCAGATTCATATGTATTCCACAATCAAACACAGGCTATTTAAAAATAATCTGCTGTTTTATTTTGTCCTTGTCATCATTTCCCTCCCTTCACACAGAACATTGAGAATTCACCCTATATATCCTAGGAGTCAGGAAGTAGAGCGGGAGACCGACGAGAGGGTCTTTTGGTGGTGGTGGCGGTGGGTTTTTTTGTTTTGTTTTGGATAGTCACGCAACCATAGTTACTACCTCATTTAAAAAATGTCATCATTTCGTCTTTCTTTATACTGTTACAAAATAAAATGTAACCTCGTGTACAATCCTTTTAATGCGAGCAGTAGGTTAAGATTCAGTACATGGGAGTGGTTAGGAGCATTGCGTTTCATCCCCAGCACCGGTATTTACTGTATCTTGACCTTGGGTGAGTTACTTCACCTCCCTGAACCTTGAGTTCTTTGTGATTGGGTAATCCTAACGCCTGTCCCCCCAGGGGTGGTTGTCAAGAACTCGGGGAATCCTGTCAGTTGAGTATCCAGCATAAAACGTGGTAGGTAGTCAATAGAGGGGAATTGTTGCTAAGAATTCAGAATTGGGGAACATGTCTGCATATGTGAGAAACTCCATCTATTTTCCTTTTTCTTTGGGAAAGGCTTAATTTCTGCCTCCAGTTCTGTGTTGGTCTGGAGAGTTCAGGCTCTTGCCTGATGGACCCCGGATCAGGGTAAGCTTCTCTGCAGTCGTCCTTGCCTGCACGTCCCAGAGAACCTCTAGCCCCTGTAGCATTACACAAGTCTTTACGGCCACTTGCTAGCATAGTGCATAGTTAAATTGTCATTTGGCCTGTTCGCTTCGCAGAGGGTCAGTCCTCTAGCCCTTACCACGTGCCAGGCGGACGCATCATGCCTCCCTAAGCACCCGTTGCTTTCTCTTTGCAGATCCCTTCTGGCCTGTTTATCCCCAGCATGGCTGTTGGTGCTATAGCAGGTCGACTTTTGGGAGTGGGGATGGAACAGCTGGCTTATTACCACCATGACTGGGCCATCTTCAACAGCTGGTGTAGCCAGGGAGCGGATTGCATCACCCCTGGCCTGTATGCGATGGTTGGGGCTGCAGCCTGCTTGGGTGAGTGGTGTCTGCATTGGGTTTGAAGAAGTTGCCACCCAGGTGACATCATGAAGAAGCGTGATATGAAACACAGTTGACTGCAGATTGATTTATTTTTTTTAAATGACCATCCGTTTCCTTTTGGGTTTGCCATTTTTCAAGTGCTTTGGAAACATTCTTTATCATATAGCTACATTCCTCCCTTTGGGGAGCAATTTTACTCTCAAATTTCATCATACTAAGGAAATGATCAGAAACGTGGAGAAGGATATCTGCCCAAGAGTGTTCATCACAGGATTATTTATGATAGCAAGAAATTGGAATCAACTTAAATATGCACAGGAAGGGACTGGTTCAGTGGATTATGGTCCGTATAACCTTGTAATGTTATTCTATGTAGCTATTAAATGTGATGCTGATATTTAACATCTTTAAATATGATGTTAAATAAATTTGTGATAATATCCAAGATGTTCCTGACATAAAGTGGGGGGAGGGGAGCACTGTGGGGAATTAATCGTGTAGTATGAGCTCACCTATGTAAAAACATACATTTTTACATAGTGAAAAACTTGAAAAAGTCATTCAAAATTTTTACTCTGCTTATTTCTAGGCAGTGAGCTTATGGATAATGACTTTCTTTTATAGACTTTATTTTTTTTTAAAAGATTTTATTTATTTATTTGAGAGAGAGTGAGAGAGCAGAGCACAAGCCAGGGGGAAAGGCAGAGGGAGAAGCAGGCTCCCTGCTGAGCAGGGAGCCCGATGCGGGGCTCGATGCCAGGACCCTGGGTTCATGACCTGAGCCCAAGGCAGACGCTTAACCGACTGAGCCACCCAGGCGCCTGCCCCGTCTTTTATAGACTTTAAAGAAATGTGTTCTGACTTTTCCACAATGGCCTGTACGTTCCAGAGAACCTCTCGTCTCAGTAGTGTTACACAAGTTGTGGGTATCTTCTGCAATGACCTTTATAATTAAGGGGGAGAAAGCAATGCACGAATAAGAAACAAAAGGAGAAAAATGCAGAAGGCCTGTTGCGCTTCTGTAGATGTTATTTTGAGAAATGTGACTCAGGTCCATTATAAACTGGCTGTAATGCAGTTGCAGTTATGGGGGAGCCCCCCTCTTAGCAGTGTTTCTGGTAAGTAGGCTTTCCCTGGATGGGGGTCTGTCGCAGGCCCTTATCTGGCATGAATCTGAACTTTTCCTGTTTTCAGTGGCCTGTATCTGTTTCGTTGCAGGTGGGGTGACCCGGATGACTGTTTCCCTTGTTGTCATAATGTTTGAACTAACTGGGGGCTTGGAGTACATTGTGCCTCTGATGGCTGCAGCCATGACAAGCAAGTGGGTGGCAGACGCTCTTGGGCGAGAGGGCATCTATGATGCCCACATTCGTCTCAATGGTTACCCCTTTCTTGAAGCCAAAGAAGAGTTTGCCCATAAGACCCTGGCAATGGATGTGATGAAACCCCGGAGAAATGATCCTTTATTGACTGTCCTTACTCAGGACAGTATGACCGTGGAAGATGTAGAGACTATCATCAGCGAAACCACTTACAGTGGCTTCCCAGTGGTGGTGTCCCGGGAGTCCCAAAGACTTGTGGGTTTTGTCCTCCGGAGAGATCTCATTATTTCCATTGGTAAGGATTTCAGAAAGAGGATCACGGGATCCGCTGTGGAAATAAATCAATACGTGTCAAAGGGGTGAAGACAGAGGGAGGACGGGACGAATTAGGGGCCATCAAGATAGAACGAGCACTTCCATGTTCAACTTTTTTTTTTTTTTCTACTTCTCAAATAGAAAATGCTCGGAAAAAACAGGATGGGGTTGTAAGCACGTCCATCATTTATTTCACCGAACATTCTCCTCCCATGCCGCCCTACACCCCGCCCACCCTAAAGCTCCGGAACATCCTGGATCTGAGCCCCTTCACTGTGACTGACCTCACACCCATGGAGATTGTCGTGGACATCTTCCGCAAGCTGGGACTGCGGCAGTGCCTGGTTACGCACAACGGGTGAGGGCTCCTTGGGGGAGGCACGTTGGGTTGTGGGAGGAAGGAGACCATAGAGAAATAAAGAGAGAAGAACCCAATTCATTTGAACGTTAGTAGCACTTGCCCTTCTGAAGCTCCATGATGAAGATGGATGTGTTTCTTTTATCGTCATAATTAACGGAAAAGGGGTTTGGGGGCAAAAGTGTGTTTGAGAGATGGGAACTGCTTGCTGCACGTTGTAAATAATGCAGTTCCTCCCCCACAAAGGAAATGGCTGTGTCCTCTTGAACAGACAGCACTGAAGTTATGATGGTATTACGTACTATATGTGTATATAGTATTTGGTCCTTACAGTAACTTTGTTACTATTATTTGAGGATGAGAAAAGCAAGTTTTGGTGAGGTTTGAAGATCTGCACAAGGGCCCCGCATTAATATATAGTAGAGGTAGGCTTTAAACACAAGTCTTCCGATTCTCAAGGCCAAGGCTCTTTCTTTCTGGGACATTTCTTTATTTTATCATTTTTTAAATTTTTAAAAAATTTCTTTTCTGTCCCCCCCCCCCCGGGACATTTCTTATGCAGTAAAGGAAGCCCTGCTATTTTTATTGGAAAAGAAGGGAGGTGGAGGAGGAGGGTGGATTTTTTTTTTCTAAGCATGCTATGTTAATCCAGCAATTATGTAAGAATTTCACTCTCTACAATTTCTAAATGTTGTAACAGATGTCTTGCAGGATTTGAATCAGCAAGGGGACTTCCCTTAACTGATTCATTCAACATTTACCGAATCCCCTATTTCGTGCAAGACGGTATTCCACTAGACGCCAAGGAGACACAAAAAAAGGAATAAGGCCCTTCTCCCTGCTCAAGGAGCGCGCAGCGTTGTAGGGAATTTGAGATCACATGAGCCCAGGTCACACGACAGCAGACGGGACAAGGGCATAGGTCAGGCCGTTGCTGCCAGGAGGACGCAGTCATTGCTGGCCCGCAGGATCAGGGGAGGCGTTCTGGAGGAGGAGCACTTGAACTGGGTGGCAAACGGGAAGATTCAGACATACAGGGAATACTTAAGCCCCAAGAAGTAGCAGGATGCGAGACCCAAGGTAGAAATGCTGGCCGCCTGTCTAGGGACCCACGCCCAGTCCCGTTTGCCTGGTGCGCGTCACCTAGTCCCGCCAGTGCCTCATGCCGTAAGTGCAGACAGCGTTGAAGACAGAGTTGCGAAGGACTGGGGCGGAAAAGCGTCACCTGCAGGATGTTAACCACAGGCTTATTTTTGTTTTGTTGTCTCGTTTTGTCTTCCAGGCGGTTGCTCGGAATCATTACCAAAAAGGACGTGTTAAAGCACATAGCACAGATGGCAAACCAAGATCCCGACTCCATTCTCTTCAACTAGAATCACAGGGCTGTGCTGGATGTAAAACAGGAAGGACATTGCAGACCACGGATGTGTTTTGTTAACTGGGTACCCAAAACACATTTCCCATATTTGGAGGGTGAAGTTATATTAGTGTGTTGTCTCTTTCCTAGAAGTTAACCAGTTGCACTACATAATCTCTGGAATTTAATCTTCTCTTTAGGAGAAAATACAGTTAGGCTTCTGTGACACTGCATTAGGAAGATTTTGTGAAAGAGTCAATGAGATTGCTCTGGTTTGATTCTTCTTAAATTTTTTTTTAATTTAAAACATAATTGTTAGCCAATATGCAATCACTGAAAACTATGCAAGAAAAATTCCAACCGTCCTGACCTATAGCCTACAGGAAACTCATGAAAAAGTCACTTTTTTGGACTCTGTCATTGGTGGAAGATGAAGTGTAAACTAAGGGGCTTTGCTTTTCCAACCACAGAAAGGAAAGCCAGAAGGAAAATAGTAATGGTGTTTTCCAGACTGTGAAAATTCAGTTCAAATGTTATCTTGTTCCTGTTACAATATTTAGCATTATTAGTTTGTGTGTGTGTACGTGTATGTTAATTTTAATATCTGATTATAAGACAATGCTGCTTTGGTTAACCTTCTCTAAACGAATTTAGAGAGGTTGACTTTTATAGCTTGCTTGTTCCTGGTACTCTTTTGAAGTGCACAAAGATAAGTTATGGAACTTTCTCCTTGTCTGCAAAAAGGGTAATTTTCCAGATGGTATTTGTTAGCTGGTAGACAAGGACTTCGCCATGAATTTGTTAGTAGCAAGGAATGATTTCTCCAGCTTCCTTGGAATGAATGATTAGTAAAGTTCTAAGCAAAGTCAATGACAAGGAATTTCACATTTTTTGGTGAGGTCCCGACTAATTCTCTTACCCAGATGCCACCTCCATGAGTGATGGTGCTTTAGGCTTCTGGAATATGTAAGAATAGTAAAGGGAACCAAGTCTAGACTGTGTACTGATAAACCAGGGAAGATCCCGAGCTGAATCTGCATTCTCATGCATTCCTTCGTAAAGACCACCAGTACTCAAATAACCGGGCACTCATGCCTCCTCCCAGTGTTAAGGACATGTAACAGGCCAGTGTTGTCCCTGTGAACATGAATTTAGGCTTGGGGTACTTTCAAATCTATTTGAGGCATTGGAATTAGGATAGGCAGCTGCCACTCCCTTGAGGCTCGTTAGAATTCTGAATAAAATGCAGAACCATCCTAAGAGCCAGGGGTGTGGACAAGGCCTGGTGACACCAAAGGTGCTTGTTTATCCAATTGCAAAGGTGCCTGTCTCAATTTTCTACCACCTTTCCTGCAGTAGAAAACATCACACCATAGGGACGCCTGGGGGAATCACAGCGCCACCACCGTCATCCCGACCGACGCCCGGTTTCATTTTCTGTTGTTTTCCCCATGTGCGGCTGCCCCCAGCCCCGTGTTCCCCTCCATTCTTTTCCCCTCCCACTCCTCAGTCCCGACTCCTCTCTTTGGGATTGAGCGCCATGCCTGGTTAATCATTCCTCTCTCAAGAAATAACTCCCGGGGCTAGTTAAATTGTAAACCGGGGCTCAGCAACCTTCTGGCACATGGACCCCCGAGGTAACGCCCAGCCATTTGCTTTGCTCTCTTGCCCAGTTGCTGCTGCCGGGCCTCCCTCCCTTTCTGTGCTGATGCCCAGTGCCCGTAGCAGCAAGACTCAACCGCAGGGCTGTGAGTTCAGCCTTTCCTGTTCTACAGGTCTGTCCCCCCGCACTTGGCGCCATCCTTCCAGCCTGGAACCAGCAGTCGCTCGGCGTATCCTTCCCCGCCCCCGCCTCCCCTCCCCGAACACCTCAGGGTGCCTCATCTTACAAGTTGCTGAGCCCTGAATCTAGGATTTTTTTTTTTTTTTTTTTTTTTTTACCCCTGGTTCTTATCTTTCCAAAATCTGAAGATCTTTCATTGCCCAGACCTGGGTAGCCAAGGCTTGTATTGATTTTTATCTTTCAAATATCAAGGCACTCACCAGAGTTTCGTTGCGTTTCTTTTCTTTTTTTTTTTTAAGTTTATCACGCTAACATTTTAGTGAAAGAGAAAAAAGCTCTCTAGGTTGTCTTCTCTTAGAGTCATGACTCAGTCACTCTATGTCTTTTGTCCCTTCCATGCCACTGATTTCCTCATATGGGATGAGGCCGTGGGCCGGACCGCCCCTGTGTATTGTGCAGGAGCCATTCTTATCTGTGTATTTCTGGTTCACTACCTATCTTTTCTTATTAGCCGTCCAGCTAAAGTTTGCAAAACAGGAAGCGTTAGTATTTCTGGTATTTGATGACACAGGTTTGGTCGCATTTCATAGCGCAGCGGCGATATGGAGGGCGTCTAAGTTTGCCTTTGTGTTTCTTCTAGGCTGTGTTTTTGATTTCAGACAGATGAGCCAGTGTTAAGGTGCTACTTCAGAGAATTAATTTGAGAAATCAGATAACACTGTGCCAAGGTATACTTTCTAGATACTAAGCACCGATTGGCCCTCCAGAGAATAATATCCTTTTGATACCTCACTCCTGATAAATCTCATTCATTAACCTCAGCTTCTCAGGAATCCTTGTAACACATAGGCTAGAAGTAGCTATAGTGTATGGTATTCATTATATGTCCAATCCTATGGTTTGGCCCAAAGGTTGGCTAATTGTGGCTAAAGCTCTCTGCTACCTGCTGGCTCAGCACCTAACACTCAAGGGTTTCTTGTCTTCAGGCAAAGGAAAATGTTCTTTCTGCCATTGCAGATTCAGCAGTTGGACAGACTTACCCAACAAACAAAGCCATGACAGGGAGGCGCGTCGGTAGCCGCAAGTGGCCACATACCTCAATGGCAAAAGACTAGATGATCTGCCACTTAAAAATTCATTTGAGTTGAGACCAGTGTGTTTGGGTGTTAAGAAAAGAAAATTGCCCGACACAAGGGAAGGATTTACAAAAGAATGCCAGTGCATGCTTCAAGAGACTTAGGATTTGCGGAGGAGAAAGATCTGGGACACAGCCAGTCGTGAGAAGAGTGGGAGTCGGTAGGTTTGTAGAAGTCTAGCTGCTAGACTTTGTAGAGTTAGATGTTCAATGTAAAGAATTAAAAGAGGCCGAAACAGTTAATGCACCGTTAGACCACAGGAGGGAGGACGCAAGGGACCGAGAATGCAAACTAACGGCCGCCGTCAAGGTCATTTCTTTTCGGATGTTTGTTCCGACGCTCTCCTCTTCTCTGGCCGCAGCTTCCTTCTGGCCCAGACCAGCTGTGCAGTAGGGGTGGCGTAACCCACAGAACTGATACCCTCTGGTGGGTAATCTGACATTGATGACACTTTGGATTTGCCAGCTGGCAGAGCAAACGATTAATTTGCTGATTGAATAGCAAAGTGGCTCAGTTGTTTTGACAGCAGAGGCGGAATCTGAACCCCTTACGGGAAGAGCAGAGCACAGCATAAATTTCTCTAGCAAGTCTCCATTTCCGTGAGACATGAGAAAGATAAAGTAATGGGGATTTAGTGTGGTCTAAGGCTGTGAAGTAATTCTTAGCCATGATCTTTTTTTTTAAAGGAGGGGAGGGACAGAGGAAGAGAGAGAGAGAGAGAGAGAGAGAGAGAGAGAATATTAAGCAGGCTCCACGCCCAGCCTGGAGCCCGATGCGGGGCTCCATCGCACGACCCCTCACATCCCCGAGATCGTGACCTGAGCCGAATTCAAGAGTCGGACGCTTAACCGACTGAGCCACCCAGGCGCCCCTTAACCACGATGTTATGAACTCGTTCAGGTGTGGGGGGAGCAAATATGTTTTTAAAAACTTGTCACGCAATAGAGTCCATCATGCAAAGTAATCGAGCATGGTACACGTTTTACGTATTTGAGTCGCCTGTCCCAGTTGGGTTCTCAATCTTGGTTTGTTTTGTGAGGTGATGAATAGGAAGGTGAACTTGTTACCCCACAGTATCTTTTTTTTTTTTTAATAAATCACGAGGAGTGCAATTTTTGAAGTTGGGTTTTCAGTGATGATAGTGAAGGTGATATTGAGAATCTGAAACGGCCAGTGTGTTTTATACTGCCGAAGTGCTTACTGAGGACAGGCCACATTGCCACCGATCAGTTCAGAGAAAGCAGGAGAACATTTTTTCAGGGTGGTGCACAGAGTATTGAGCTTTTGAAAACCCTGAGAAAAACTAGAGATTTAGAAATTAAATGGGAAGTAGGATATTCAGTTCTTAAGAAAAAAAAAAAAATAGATGTCTAAATATGTGGTCTGAACTTAAGTGTCCTAAAACCTTGATTTGTTTGTTTGTTTGTTTGTTTGTTTATCACCTCTGGGTTTGCCTGGACTCCCTCTGGAGAGAGAATTGGAAGATGTGGCAGTGGAGAAGCCCTAGTAAGAGAGTGTCTGAGTTCTTGCAAGATGGCAGGAGGAAGGCCATCCTGCGCCCCACGCCATACAACCTGGCATTTATAAACTGTCTGATCATGTGCCTCAGGTAGAGAGCAAGTCAAGTAGTCTTTCAGAGACCAGGGTTTGCGAGCAGAGGAGAGGCTCAAAGCCACATTCGGCTGGAGGCAGTCCACTTGTACGGAGAGGGCTGACCCGCGACCAGACATCTGCTCAGGAAGGAGGCCGGCTACTACGTACCATTGCCTAAGTGATGAGCTTTAGGTAGATTGTCTTGAATTTTTTTTTAATCTATATTTTAGCCTCCCTAGAATATACTTATTGTGTATTAGAAAGAAAAAAAAAAGGTGAGGGCTTCTCAGATCAGAGTTCAGGGAGCTGTGTAAACTTACAGGGAAATTTAATGCAGTGGTCCTGTGGCGACCACTCCGGCTTTGCTCTGCCTCAGTTTCGGTTGTTCGCTCCAAGGAGGGAAGCTCTTGGAAGAGTAGGTGTTAGCAACTTCACGTTACTCCACAAATGTTTGCTGGCCGCGGTCTCACTTCTGAACATCTGGATCTGGGCAAAGTTTTGAAGCGATGTAGGGAACGGAATTGCTTTTTCCACTGTGTAGTCCGATTTTGCCAACTCACCCAAGAAAGAAAGTCTGTGATGTGCAGAGTTTGCGTTTCTTGGATGGGACCTATCAGGTCCCCCTGCTGAGTCCCACAGTCATAAATTCCTACCTCTCAGTTCCTGCCAAAGGGTCTTCAGCCTCTGTGTGCACTCACTGAATCAATGCCTTGCCTAAAGTTTGGCCTTTTATAAAGGGAGAAACGGCATATGATGGTATAAAAATATGAGGGTTTAAAAAAAGTGATCTCTGCCTCTCCTTCTCTCTCCTCCTCCTCCCCCCATCCCCCAATTCCAATTTTTTCTCAGTTGTTAACAGGCGTGTTGTCTTGAATGTGGACCTTGGGGGAGGGACAACATCATTCTGAGAGAATGGAAGATACTTCTGAGCCGATGGGCCAGACGGGGCTTTGCTCTGCTGGCGGGGCCAAAGCCGGGGCGGGGGGTTGTTGAGAGCATTGAGGGCTTGAGCATCTCAAGGCAGACATATGAAGTGCTCGTTGCTAAACCTGATTATCTACTAGTCCAAATCTGTTGAAAGTCAAAGGCAGCCTGGAATTTGGTGAGTGAAATGCCATCTGGCCACATGGGGACAAGGGAGTGGCCTGAGATGGTTTTACCAGGGTGGGAATGTTCAGTCTGGTCATACTGAGTGTACCTCAGAATACACGGTCCTTCAAGAGAGCTCATTTTCCCTTCTCCATTGCACTTCAGCCCCTTTCTCCCCCTTTGCCCTGCCTTTTCAGTACTCAGCCTTTTAGTAAGTATTTACATTTTTATTATATATTTGGTCCTTTAGGACTATGTAATGATTAAGA